AAGGAGAAGCTCCAGCAAAGCAAGTATCAATGAAGGAAAGTGGGAAACATTAACTGTATTAAAGTGGAAACAAAGTTTGTGAAAAATTCAGACATAGGCTAATGACTCCCAGATCTTTGTTATAAACCCTCAGAATCACATCTGTGTTTCTGTAATAACAAGCCTCTGTCCTCAAATAGCAACCTCATTTGTTCCCATGTCACAATCTGACTGCTTCTTCAGTAATAGGCACTGATGCTAAAACCTGATAAAAGTCTGCATTGCGTATAGAGGAAATTACTAATGACTATGATCCTCCTGCGGTAAGTTGTCTTCAAGAAAATGCGAGCAAAATGTGTAAGAAACCTGACTATTACCATCTAACCACCCAGAACGGGTGTACCTCCATTACTGACTGGTGTGCTACAAAGAAGGAAGAACTGGAATGAACGTGATACAATCTGTTATGTTCGTTCACAACATGTGCTTAATGGCCACAGGGTTCAGATCAGGTACTGCTCGTGGCTGTGCACCAGATAGGCACAGAGACGTGCAAGGAGCCACACCTTGTAGATTCAACACTTGCTCTGCACCGAAAGAAGGTATAAGCCTTCCAGGTGTTGGTATAAACCAAATTCGCACCAAAATGTCACTAAATGACAGGTGAGATGCTACGATCATACTTTCAGTTACTCAGATACAGAGCCATGAAGACTACATTAACTTTGCTCAGGCAGCTGGATTATTGCTTGTTTCATTTCTAAAGTGGTTTAAAAGTTATATACCCTGACTTAACTACTACCTCTATTTTAGGCAATACCTCTGCCTTATGAAAGACAGAAATAACATCTATGCGTGCCTATTTCTTTACTTTCAGTGATCTAGGCAGCTGATCCATATGAGGATTATCTTCTTAGGTGACTAAGAAAACCTCCACTTAGATGACTTCCATAAGATTTCTCAATGAGAAAGCAAAACAGGTTAACTGCAAATACTATGTTATTTATTCTTAAAGTTCTAAAACATGTTTCTGTGAAAGAGTTGATTCTTCTCTCAAGCTTCTAAACCTTCACCAGAATGCTTACATGCTAATAAATAATCTCAGTTTTTCTTATTTGTGTATATCTTTTTGTAAATAGCGAAAGCTGGAGTTGGAAATGGACTTTCATATCAAATATGTTCATTTACGTGGAAGTGATAAGAATTTACTGCTTACCAAAATGAAAGGTAACCCTGAGTGGTTTTGAGAATTATTTCTGTGCACTATTCAAGAAATACTTATCTAAAAATAAATTCTATATGCAACACATTAGCATTAACCACCATGTAGATATAAATGATTTAGAACTGTCTCTCTATTTCGATTTTCATATCCTTACCTTTTGCTATGCAACTGTTATTCCTCTCCTTATAATTTTTCTCACATGCACATTTGTATGACCCCTTAATATTATTGCAGTGTTGGGAGCAGGCACCAAATACCATACACTCATTGATATCTAGGAGAAAGAGAATTGTAATTTATACCTATAGTTTAATACACTACTATTTAGCACGTTCAAAAAATCATGGAACAAAGCAGATGAACAAAAGGAACTTGTAAGCATTGGTGTATCTTGCAACAGTGAAAAGAAGCCTTCTGCTATTATCACTAATGTTACTTCCACTGCAATCAACATATCTCAGAAAGATCTTTTTCTATTACTTCTGCATCCTTCCTATATCAACCTATTATCGTTACAGCCTGAAATCAACTTTGGGAATGAAAATGTCTGTTACCATTATCTCCGGCATACCTTCCTCTGGTACAGTCAGAACTACATGATTACCTCTTCCCAGAAAAGCTCCTGCGTATATATTCTTAAGAGCCAAACAATGAAGTTTTTGTATGCAAGCATCTATGCACTTCGACAGTCCCATTGAAGTGATCTCCAATTTTTATGTACGCTACTGCTCGCCAGTAAGAAAATGAATTCACAACCCATTCTTTGCGAAGGTAGATTTATCTCATCTTTCTGATCAACTCTTCCATTATAACAACTGTGTCTTTCTTTTTTCTGAGCAGTGTGGTATCATCTATATTAAGACTACATTTTCTAAGGAATTATACTTTCAATCTGTTTAATTTCAATTTCGTTTATGCATCTTCATCATTTTAAGTCACTCAAAATATTCTGATGTAACAACTTAACCACCAGTCCCAATTGCTCAGTTAAATAACCTACTAGACCTTAAATCACCCATTTACCCCTTCTATTAGAAAATCACGTAACAGTCTGACCAAATGTTAAACTTTGATAACCTCTCCAGGTAAAATGTGCAAGTCTACACTCTGTACATCCTTTCGGGTTTTTTTTCTTGATTTCTTAATCCCATAGCTATGAAATAGTTTTTACTCTGTGGAAAAAAGTATGTGATATGTATCTCCTTCTCCAGCACAGTTGACTTCATACTTTACAGCAATGGATAATGGAAAAGATCTGTACCTTCACACTGTCTGTTCCTCTTGTTTCTCTGAAATCCAGGTTTACACTGACACAGTAGGGATGTTTTTGTTTGATTACAGTATGCATCATCTCCACAAGGGTTCACATTATCTTCACATGTATATTCAGCGACACCTAAACATAAACAAAATGTCTAAAAATCCATTGATAGATTTGTTTAAACTGTTAAAAAAGAGATTAAAGTAACAACAACAAATATCAAATCTTTCATAAAAGAGTATTAGGTAAATTTTAAACAGATATATGACATCACAGTGTTTACCTACATACGTGTATTTAACTGAGATACTTAATTTCACATCAAGAATTTAATACTAAACTATATCTTGTTGCAAATATGAAATAAAATACGATCAACTTATAGCTAAACTGCTTCAAAAACCCAAGAACTACAACCTGAATTGCTATAAAATTTGCCTTCCTTTTGTGGTATGTCAAATAGAATTAACTCTTTTTTTAACCAAAATAAAGTAACTTTAACTTCTGTGTCATTGAGTAGGTTTTGCATGGATGAAAGACTCAGTTAATTATTTACTTTCTGCTACAATCACGAAAACATATCTTATCAGCCAAACTCACTTATTTTGCAGTCTTGCTCATCTGAACCATCTCCACAGTCATCAAACCAATCGCACTGTAGCTCCATTGGAATACATTTCTTATCATTACAAGCAAACTCATCCTTTTTACATGGTCTTGCTTTATATGTGATTTTATCTATATAAACACAAATTAATAAGGGAAAAATAAATCAGTATGTAAAATTCTTGGATTATTTTAGACTCATACAAATGGGAATGACCATGAAGCATTAAGCAATTAGAAATTATTTCAAGCTTAATTTCTTTCAATTTCAAAATCTGATCTACTAACCTCCAGTTAAGCTTTACTGAAGGACAAGCAGATCTCTGTAACAAAGTTTGCCTTCAAGTTGTTTTCTTTGATCTGAATGCCTTGAAAGGTAATACCACCTACCGCAGTGATCTTCATCCGAGTTATCACCACAGTCATCAACCTCATTGCAAATCTGCTCAGGTCGCAGACAGACCCTGTTGTTTCTACATCTGTATGGCCTTGTTGGAGGACATGGAAACTTTACTGCATATTAAAAAAAAGAATCAGCTATTACCCAGCTAGTATTCTTGAACCTTCTTCAATGTCTCCTTATCAAAGCAATAAGCAGGCATGAGAACACAGTTGTACTTGACATACAAATGGCACTTGATTTTAACTTCTGATAGCTAATGGAATAACAGTTCAACAATGTTTCCAGTACAGGTTCTTCATTTAGGGAATGAAATTATTTTGTGTGAAAAAAGTAATCACACTGGGTTTTTTGAGAACTAGTAAATATGACAGAAATAAAACCAAACAAGTGGAAGTTTAATGACGATCAGTATTTCAGTGTAGAAGTAACTTTTCCCCATCTGTGCATTTCCTACAAAAATATTAACTTCTCACAAGTATTTTATTTGAAATTACATGAATATCAGTAACAGAAAACTAGATCCCACGTTTCAAGCTAACCTTCTAGAAATAAAATAAAGAAAACTTAGATGCATATATCCTTATATATTTATGTATGTTGCATGTCATTTCTTGGTTTACTACATGAAAAGCATTGAAAAACGTAATGTCATACCACACATTTCAGCAACTTCGTCAGAATTATCGCCACAGTCATCCTCGCCATCACAAACCCAAAAATGTAGTTTGCAGAGGGAATTGTTGCACAAAAATTCATCAGCTCTACATATATTTCCCCCTGGGAGGATGAAAAGAAGACAGAAAAACACCCAGGGAAACAGAAAGACAAAAGAAAGAACGTCAATTCGTGATAAAACCAGTACAACCATTTATCCCATAGTATCTGCAGAGAATGACACGTAGCATAACTGAATGAACAAATCCCAAATGAAAGGGTTGGAGAGGCAGAGAGAAATAATCATTTAAAAATCTATTCCTTGACCGGATACTTCTTTCACTCACTTTTCATGGCTGTTAGCTAGGAATTACCTACCTGGCCTGACAGAAAGGGCAGTTATCAAACTGACAGCTCGCCAGCTACGTATGTTCCCCTTGCGTTTAGCCAGGAGATGCTTAAACTGTCTTTCTGTCTGTGACTTCCTTTGGTGATGCCGCCTTTCAGAAAAGGTCTGGCTGGGTACATCAGTAATTTCTACCATCAGAGAACGGTACAAACCAGAAGACAGAAATACACTCGAACTCGTGAAAGGCCACTTTCAGTTCAGGTGTGTTTCACATGAATGTCTGATCCTCCATTGATTCCCACTCCCACTCTGAGCCACACATCGTGTTCAGAAGAGACAAAGTGATTGCAGTCCCTTAGCCATGAGGTAGCTGAGGAGTAATAGACTTTGCCAGGCTTGTAACTGCCCCATCAACTGTAAACTCTGTAATTAGGGCTAAGATCTAGCCATGTAGGCACAGAGTAGATAAGACTAGGTGTCTCTTAACAATCTCTTACTTTTTGTAACTTCTGAAATTTCTCATTAGGATATTTACTGAACACAGAATGCAGCAAGAATAAATTCTTCCATCTAACTTCAGTATTGACGAAACTCTTAAATCACATAACAAAACAGAACAGAGGGTGACAGAAAATGTTTTAAGCTGGAGTGCTGGAACTTTAAAAATTGGTTCAAGAGATTCAGTTTTAACACGTGCGGCAGTAAGAAGGCATTTTGTTTCAAAATTATGACTGAATTTTACCACTACCAATCAATCAAGTTATGGAAACTTCTTGAAATGAATTTTCTACATAACACATTTTTATGGTAACTGGATTCTCAGTCTCCTGAGAGGAGTAGAGCATAAAACAAATAAAGCTGTGTACCTGCAGAGAAGGAAACAATGAAATTTTGTATGATAGCAACAAAAACTCTCACTGCGGCTTACCTCAGTGCATTACATCCACCCTAATAGTGAGATCAGGCTCCGGCGACTTTTTACTTAATCATTCAGTGCCTTGTTCACACCCCATTAAAATCAACAGAAGGCCTTCTTTCACTATAAGGGTTTGGAATGCTTTAAATTATTTTTTTTTTCCCCAGAAAACTAATTTGCAGGAAATACCCACTGTGTAAGAGGAGGTGGGGAACTCTCACACTGTGTTACCAAATGTAATAAACTCCCATTGCAAATACAACTTATGAACATTAACAGAAATATTATTTGCTATTATCCAAGGAAAAATATATAAGATTCAAGTACCCTTCATGATGAAAGACATGAATATAAATAATTGTGTGTGTAATCACAATATAACCATAATTCTAGTTGTATAATAAGATTAAAAAGAGTTATGTTTATAAAGATGCACAGTGGACTGCAGATAAATATTACGGAGATTGTTTTAGAATGCTGTAGAATAAAACTCCATTTGTGTTTGCTGTATTTCCAAAGAGGAAAAAATTAGTTATCAGTGAGATAAACTGTGATTGCTCTGCTGTCATAATTTCTTGAAGGAATAGATATCCATAACAGAAATCATAATTGTGACATAAATACGAAGTATTATAGCAATAACCAGCTAGGCAAAAGGCTCCTTATTGCATTATAAGCAATTTGCAGTTCACAGAAACTCCATTATGTTATCTAAAGCATAATGTGGGCTTCAGATAAAATAAGGGTGTTATGTTACACTTCATTGGTTTTTAAAGAGATACAGTACAGATATTTTAAGAGTTGTTTTAAAACGGACTAGAAGGGGTTTTTTTAAAACGGTGTTATCTCAGTCTTCTTAAAACAATTCATTCTTCAACGCCTTCAAATATGATGTTTTTCTCTGCATCTAAACATCTTTGGAAGCTTCTTCCCGTTTTCTTAATTTTCTGATCTCTCTTTCAAACTTAATCATTCCATACACCTTCTTTTTTTTCCTAGTGGTAACTATTGCTTAATAGACTTAAAATAAGGGAAGGATATTTTCCTCTGTAATTGCTTGCTTCATCTCTGATTATTACTTATTTTTGTACTTCATTATGCTCTTGAAGTCACACACATATGTGACTGTAGATGACTTCTTAATTTTCTGATCTCTCTTTCAAACTTAATCATTCCATACACCTTCTTTTTTTTCCTAGTGGTAACTATTGCTTAATAGACTTAAAATAAGGGAAGGATATTTTCCTCTGTAATTGCTTGCTTCATCTCTGATTATTACTTATTTTTGTACTTCATTATGCTCTTGAAGTCACACACATATGTGACTGTAGATGACTAAC